ATAAGCCATAAACTGATTGTACAATCAGTGGAAGTCCTGTAATATTCTGGTATTCATTTGGCTTTTTATTATTCGCGGCGTTCGTTGACTTGTGGTCGACCTCTACATTGGATCCCACCTTCAAGAAGACGTCTTCCATTGTGGTCACAGTTATACCAAACGATTGTAAACCGATCCCTCGTTTCCGACTCTCGAGTTCGTCAAACAGTTTCGGGAAAACATTTTTATCGGTTTGTTTGGATATGTTCTCCGATTCGAGTGAATAAATGATTTCTGTATTGATTTCGCTCTGAAGACGACTGTCGGGTAAATGTCTTTTGAGTATCTCATCGACCGCTTCCTTCTTATAATTGTCGGACTTTGAGATTCTCAGGTGATATCCGGCACCAAATCGCTTCTTCAGATACATCGGAGATCCGCAGCATTTGAGGACACCTTCAGACATAATGGCTATTCTGTCGCCCAATACCTGAAACACAGAATTAAGAAATGAATTCAAAGTTACATTCAAGTCATGAAAACTAATGGTCAGTACATCCGCCTCTTCCATGTAATGAGTGGTCAATAGTATAGTCTTCTGTCGTCTCACATCTTGTAAAATATCCCAAATAGCTCTGCGCGCCTCTGGATCCATACCAGAGGTCGGCTCATCCAGTATCAGGACTTCTGTTCCGCCGATTATAGCGATTCCTAAACTCAGTTTGCGTTTCATTCCTCCAGAAAGTGATTTACTCTTCCAATCCTTTTTGTCGTTCAATCGGATTATAGACAACACTCTCTCGATCTCCGGCTTTATCTGATCGTTCGGGAAGTCTTTCAAAACGGCATAAAGTCTGAGATGTTGTGCAACAGTCAAGTCATTGAAGAGAATATTCTCCTAAAAAATACAAAAATAGTTATCAAAGGATTCATTATTCATGTAAACCGTACAAACCTGTGGACACAAACCAATGCTCTTTCTGGCCTCTCGAGTGGCAGTCATCACATCATAACCGTTGACGGATACTGTTCCCGAACTGGGAGGGAATATACCGGTTATCATATTCATTGTAGTGGTCTTTCCGGCGCCGTTATGTCCCAACAAAACAGTTATTTGTTTGCTGTATATATCGAGTGACATGTGTTTGACACCCCTTCCGCTGCCGAAGTCTTTGCTGAGGTTTTTAAGAGATATCATAACTTTGCTGTCTTTCGGTTGAGTTTCAAAGTTTTCATTTTTCGCAGAACTGGCCGTCGATTCGCTATTCTTGACGGACTTATGCGGACAATAATAGGAGGGCTGACACGGGAAGCAC